TCACGCAGGAGGCGTTCCCCATAGTGAGACACTCACTCATGCTACTCAGAGAACCGGGGTTATATACATAACCTTAAGTTCTCGATTCCCAATGCTATTCAGGACCCATTGACAGAATTTATCATTGAGCATCTTCTTTGCAAAAACTCATCCATGTGATCAAAGCGGATCGTTTAAGCTGATCTTTGTTATGAGGCTCACTTTCTTCACAGCTTTAAAAGTAGATTACCAAACAGCAGCACTTTACCATAGTCCATTCTGGACCACACGGTTCCTGCAGGTCCTCCAGCAGGAACATGCATGGTTACATTCAAACAGCACCGGGGGCTCCCGCTGGCAGAAGTCCATTGGTAGTCGACCCTCCTGCAATCACATACACCATGAGATAAATAGTCATTGGGAATAAAAACAGATTCTCTTCAGAGCATCTGTTGGTAATTTTAGTCAACAGAACGTGAAGAAACATTACATTGAAGAGATAAACAAAATATAAGTGGGCCAGGCCGTACTGTAATGTAAAACCAGTTTAGACCCCAGCAGTGAAGGGGGCAAATGTAAGCTTTATTAAACAAGTCGTTAAGAACACATTCTTATTTAAAATGAGGAAATGTGGGTGTCACGTGAAATCATTTCAGTAGGTACACAGGTTCTACTTACACTGTCATACCAACAACGCAAGCTGAGCTGGCCACATATGCAGGTGCTAGATGAGCAGTCATCTGTGCAGGTGCAGTGCTGAGTGACACAATCAGTGAGCCGTTAGAAGCTGGCCATGTACCTATTCTCTTACAATGCTAGTCATTTTCTGCATAATGACTGCAAACTTCTTCAGAGCACTAGTGCCTTCTCTGGACTGCTGCAATAAATGTGTAATTTACACCTTACCTGTCATCACTCACTTACCTGTAAGTGAGTGATATCTTTGTCTATGTTCAGCGGGGAGGTGACACAGCTGTCTGGTATATATTTAAAGTTTTCAGGCAATGGCTCACTGTCCACAGCATTAACACAGGTGATAGGCACTGCCTCATACCCCCGAGAAATGTCCCTAACAGACAGAAAAGGAAAACAAAAACAAAACAAAGAAACAAAAAAAGTCTACAAGTTTTTAGTTTTCCTTTTTGAGGAATGGCAGATTTTGAGAAAGCAGAAATTCATCAGCCAACAAAAGAACAGGACAAAGTGCAGCACTACCTGCTGAGCACTCTCTCTCCACGGCCTTCCCTTCCTCTCCTGGCATCAGTCAGCTTCTTGTTGGTATTAAGGGCTGTCCACACTTTGGAACCGGAAGCACAGCAGTCCAGAGCTGTTTCTCCATCCCTGTTCCTTTGACTGACATCAGCTCCACGAGACAGAAACAACCTGCGCGTGGAAAATGTTTAAGTTAAGACTTATGGTCATCTAAAAAAACAGAGTGAAGGTGACAAGCACTGAGATAGACTGGTATGCACTGTCGCTGCTCAATTTGAGCAGTCAAAATCGTTTCTAAATCTCATTTACCTAATTACACACACAGCTATAGAGCATTTTGATCTGTGCCTAAGCACTTTCTAACATTCGCCCACACACTTGATGGACATACGCAACTCTGTACCTTGAGCAAGGACACAAGGACACGTGCACTGGAGGAGCCAGGTATCAAACCATCTGATTAATATCAGTTTGCCTCAGAAATTAACGGCTTCATTTGGTTTTATCAGTTGAGCGCTGATTTCCCAGAATGCAAACCCACGTACTATTTGTTCTAGAACTCTTGCATATTAATACACTTTCAGGAGAAGCAGACTGCATTTTATAGATAAGGCTTTCTACAGCTGCAGAGAAAACATTTGAACACTGTGTATAAGGAACAAAATGTTTAAATAATCTGTTTGTGGTTGAAACCAGGAAGCAAACAAATACAAGAAATGCAGTGACTAAATAGCTGAATAGCTGTATTTGTTTGTTTCCAATAATACTCTCTTCTCTCATTACAGACATAAACCCAAAAAAAAAAGTTTCCTCAAAATCAGCATCATCATCTGATGTGAAGAAACTGAGTGACCTCTGTGACCTCTCAGACTTCACACTCACAATATGCACTCCAGGTGGTTCTCTCTGGCAGCGACATGAAGTGGTGTATCACCATGAACATTCACAGCATTTAGGTCGCATCGAGCCTCTAGCAGAGCCTGGGCAATGTCATCGCAGCCTGATAGAGCGGCCCAGTGTAGGCAGACATTCTCTTCCTAAAATGACAGTGACAGGTGTAAGATGTAAGCATCAGACATGACATACCTCTACCCTCGGCAACAGTGCTCTAAAACATCTCGACAAGCACTCGCAAAGACTTTACTGAAGTCGCCATTTGCGCTGACTAATCCCCAGGGGTAGCAGAAAGAAAGGCTTCCAGCAAGACATGCAAGTGAAAAAGAAGCTACTATTTTGAGTATGTGAATTTCTGAACTGTGACCTCAGGAGGAAAACACTTTTTTGGATACAGAGTTCCATCAAGGCATGTCACTGTGTCTTAGTTATAATAATAATAATAATAATAATAATAATAATAATAATAGGTCTCCAAGTAACGCCCACAACTGATAAAAGTCTGTTAGACGTAGCTGATATCCTTAATTTTTTTTTTTAATCTGGAAGACACAACTAGCTAAGCCCACCAAGCTGCTTCAAACCCTCTGTTTGTATGAGGCAAAACAGAAAAACGGTGGCTTGAAGAAAGAGGGGCTAAAACCAGACCCACTTTAAGATAAAGAATCTCAAAAAGGTATTCCAGAAGATACCAAAAATAAAAATATGAAGTAAGAAACAAACATTTAATCTCCACTTTTTGTGGTGACCAGACACTTTTATTAGAAATCAACAAGCTTCTTGCACAGTCTCGGTTAATGCTTTTTTTAAAGGCAGAATTTGTAGAGGTCAATACAATATGTCAAAAAATGTCTTTGTTTTCAAAAAATATCCAAGTCCTAACTTAACTGTGAACTGCCCAGATTTTTTTTTTGTAAACAGGTCTGGTCAGGACTTTTTGTACTTTTTGTACCAGATTCTTTCCCCCCTTTTTCAATGTGTAAGCATTCAGCACAATAGCATACTAAAAAGAAAAAGAGTTCTTGTGTCATAGTCACAAGATGTCTTGTGACTATGACATCGTCATATGTCACTATGACGATGTCATTGCTCTTGGGGACTTTAACAAAGCCAATCTGAGCCATGAGCTATGGAATGCCAGGACTGCCATAATGAATTAATTAAATACACCATTAAATAATTAATTAAATGTGGCAATAATTAATTAAAATTGGAATTAATTAATTAAATAAATAGTTATGACAC